GTCTAAATAGACTTACTATAAATTAATGGAGAAATAATAAAAAACAAACAAATTAGATGGCTAACACCCAAATGTCGTAACTTACAACCAGACGCCTCCCGTAAAGGATCCAAATGTCTCTTAGAAACAAATCAAAAATATATTTCTATCAAACACCAATCAGTCATCTAACTTACTGGACAAGACATCTGATTATGAATTAGACATCTACTATCAGACAACCAGATCGATGTTTGAATTTGATTTAGACATCTGATCTTGCATGATTAGGTGACTGATGCATTGCTGGTCCTACACGATTGATCTGCTATGACTTGTTTCTTCATCATTTTACCTCCAGTCACATTGTAACTTCTTGGAATTGTTAAATGGACTAAAACACCATGTTTTTACATATTTTATAAGATCAGCAACAAAGAAAAATGAAGAACTAGGGTTTCGTATAGGTTTTGTGCATGTCTTCCAATTCTTTCGATCTGTGTATAGGTAAACCTTATTAAATGTAATGATAATTTGCATAATACATCAAGAAAACATCATATATGAAACCTAATACAATTAGCATGAATTTTCTAGGGTTTGTACTAGATTCAAAGGAAAATCACCGAGTGATAGATCATGAATAACCCTATAAATTATGAACAAAGTCAAGAAAACCCTTGTCTAAATTTAAAAAATCATTTTCTCTTGCTGAATCTCTTATCTCTAGTCTACTTCTCCCGTACAACTTCTGCTCCCAAGATTATGTTTCAAAAAAAGAAATGAAATCCTAAGTTTAAGGGGTATTTGTAGGCACTGGGCCCATTTTCAAATATTATTTCTTTTACTCTTGTAACCCTAAGGTTATATGTAAAAAGTTCCTTTAATATGAAGTCCATTTCATGATTTAACATGAATATTGGTCTAATAAAGTTATACTTTATAGAATTTCATCACATCGAGTAGAAATAATTATACGATTTTGTAATCCCCTCAATTAAATAAATAATTTAGTAAAAAAATCCAGGGCCTTACGTCCTATCTCCTTATAATAAATTCCATCCTTGAAATTTCTAAACAAGGTAGATATGTACGTCTAACAAATTCGATAATTCTCTGCTATTGAATCTCTCACTCCTAAGTAGCTTCATTGGGTAAGTTTAGATTCTATTGCAAAAGCACTAAATGAATGACATTGTTCTCTCCAGGCGCAACTTCTTATGGGGCAAGTCCCCAAACAATTCCAAAGGCAATAACCCTGTCAATTGGAGAACTGTTTGTTCCCCCAAAGCCAGCGGAGGTCTGGGTGTGATTAACCTTCATCTTTTCAACCGTGCCCTCCTCTCCAAATGGCTATGGCGCTATCATGATACCTCCAGCTATGTAGGGAGGGTACTCCAATCTATCTACTCCTTCCACCATCACAGCTCATCCCCGTCCAATCTCTGTTCTCACTTCTGGAAAGACGTCCACTCATGCTCTGACATCTTCTCCCCCTTCATCTCATGGTCGATTGGTAATGGCTTAGCTGCATACTTTTGGGAAGACAAGTGGACAGGAGCCAACTCTCTCGCTAGCCTCTTTCCCCAGGCATATGATTTAGCTTTCTCCAAGTTCGTCCCCATTGCATCTCAAGGGAGATTTCATGAGGGATCATGGGTCTGGCATCCAATCATCAGGCGTCCCAGGAATGTCGTTGCTAGGACCCAAGTGCAAGCTCTTCTAGACCATCTATCCTCTCTCAACCTTGCTCCTTCACCCTCCGCAGTCTGCCCTGACAGCCCATCTTGGTCGCTATCAGCCTCAAAATCCTTCTCAGTTAATTCCCTTCGCCGCTTCCTAGCAGATGGAGGTATGAGATCCAAACACCTTCCATCCATATGGAACAACTTCCTGCCAAGTAAAGTTCGGATTTTCTTCTGGCTCCTAAGCTCTCTTAGATTGAAGACTAAGGATAGACTAGCCTCTCAAGGGTGGCTAGCTGACTCCAGTTGCAGCTACTGTCCAGAACAAGAATCTCACGACCACCTGTTCTCCTCTTGCATCCGGACTCAAGTTATCTGGTCACCCTTCCTCCTTAAGTTAGGCATGGCCTCCCTCCCTGCTAGCACATCCAAGTGTCTAGATCTCTGTTCAGACCCAACTGTCCACGCCTCCACCCGCCTCTTATGGAGTGTATGCTTTCCTACCATCAGCTGGGTCCTGTGGCACGATCGTAACAATTTGATCTTCCGCAACAGCTCATCTTCGCCCCATAGCATTATTAAGAAGTCTGTTAACTTCATTCTTCTCTGGGCAGGGGCCTCCAACTCCAAGAAATCGCTCGAGATCAAGAAGCTCATTCAAGACGTAGGGCTCTCAGATATCCTTGAATCAAGCGAGGACAGCAACTCGTCGCCTTGAACCGTTTCCCCCCAAGCTGGCTCCTGCTCTTATCGCTGTGGGTTATTTTGGTGCAGCAGTTAACATCCTAGTTTTTTTT